AGATTCTAGTATTTATTTATTTTATTTTATTTTATTTATTTATTAATTTTTTTATTATTATTATTTTTATTTATTTATTATTATTTATTTATTTTTATTTATTTTTAATTTTTTTACCCACACTCTCTATAAATAAAAGGAAAAAGAAGAAAAAGTACTAGAATCTACTTTTTCCTTTTATTTATAGAGGGTGTGGGTTCGAATCCCGGATGGGGCTCAGCCCCCAAAAGTACTAGAATCTGCACTTTGCTAAGAAGGTGTAATCCCAAACATAACACACGTTAACCCCATTCCAAATTAGTTAATAATAATAATTGTCCCGTACTTTGTGGGTCAATATCTAACATCGAGTGAACGCATTCATGTTGTATATTGAAAAACATAAAAAGCCGTAAATGACCAATTGATACAATAAGCGGTTAATGATATTATCAATATGAAATATATCACTTTATCGTCTTTATGTGTCACATGTGCTTCGTTGTGGGGCAGGACTCAAGTCCTAGAAACACTCAGGAGTCAAGCTGCCAAACACGGTCACCCATCCAAGGCCTCTCCGAGCTCGACGCTGCTTAACTTCACCGATTTGTGACCTGAACTATGAGCACAGGACCACGCGCCACTGTAACATTCACTCGGTCTCGTTCAGATCGTAATGCATGGTTAGAGAGCATTTCTTTCTTTTTCAGAACAGTTGTCAGATTAGATCACAGAAAATTCCAGCAGGTCCTGTTAATGGATTGTCCGTAGTTGTAAAACCTTAAAACAATGGAGTTTCCCCAATTTGAGGGAACACTACAGTATACATATATGGTTGGCATAAGTCATTTTTGCCTAAAACAATGTGATCCATAGTGAAGAACGGTTATTCTGACAGTCATCTCCCCGGTTCAAGGAAGAACAAATAACATTTCCAAAACGCAACACGACAGAAGGGTGCGATGTTGCAAGAGAAATTACTAAAACATGTTTGGAGTCTGCAGGCCGAGATGAACGTGGCGAGGTGTGTATAAATTCGATCATTACATAGCATGGTATCACAGTTGATAAAAGCACACCAAAAACATACCGATATTAACACGTGAAGAAAGAGAGAGAGCCATCGGTATGACCGAAATGGGAGCTACAGGTGAAATTGCCAGCAGGTTCGGGTGTACGCCACTGACGGTATCCTGGCTTCTACAACGATCCAGGAAGTACTGAGGACAGGCCCACGGGAACACCGGCAAATAAGGATCATCCATCTGCGAAACAGATTCGTTACGGCGACGGCGACGGCGACGGGAACGGCAACGGCTGCAACAACACTGAGACATCGTATTAGCCCACGTACAGTACTACGTAGACTTCGTGCTGCCGGAATTAGAGCCCTCCGTTCATTCCGGGACATATTTTGGACAGTGCAGCATCGGCGCCTGAGATTGCGATGGGCTAGGCGAGTTCGAGTCTGGCAGGTGAGGCAGTGGCGCCGAGTGCTGTTTACCGCCGAGTGTTGTTTTAAGTTGTTTCAGAATGGTGGCAGAGAACGAATTTATCGCCCTAGAGGTGAACGACTAGCTCCTGTGTGCACCCAACAGGTCCAGCCTTTCGGCGGAGAAGGCGTCATGGTGTGGGCGGTATTTGTAGGGAACAGAATTCTAATCTGGTAGTTGTGCGGGAGAACTTAAACGCAGTGCAGGTCAGAGACCAGGTGCTACAACCCGTTGTGCTCCCATTCATACAAAACCAACCACAGGGAACAGTGTTTCAACAGGACCATGTCAGGTCCCATACAGCAAGACTGACACAGGACTTTCTCATACACCACAACATTGATGCCCTTCCATGGCCTGCCCACTCACAAAATATCAACCCGACAAAGCATCTATGGGGCCATCTGAAAAGACAGATAAGAAGTCGTCAACAACCCATTGACAACAGTCAAGAGCTAGAGCATATGTAGAGAGTGGAGTGGCAAAGGATTCCAGCATACGTCATCAGACGTCTGACGTCATCGATGAGACGACGTATCACAGCATGCATTGGGGCACGTGGTGGTCATATCCGTTACTGAGACTGCCATTGTGTCTCCAATGAACTTGTATAGAGCCTGACAATCGCGTATGAGTGTTCAAATATCACTGGAAACCAATATGTTCTATGTTTCACTATCGCTAACACGTCATGTGTTGTCAGAACATCCTTCATAATGTGCTCGGTTCATCTGTAACCATTCTTCATTTCATATTATTCTTGTAATCAACATTTTGTGTGTCGTTTTTATGGATCGTCAAACTCGATCTATACTTTTTTTACCTCTTAGTTAAAACTGTATCTGCCCAGTGGGGTTATTTTGTCCGGTGCGAGCATTCAAAATCAGGGTTAGGATTTCAAAAGGTTGGGAGGTGATGACGCCATTTCCAGATTTAACGTACCAGTTAGAAACATCCTATCCCATGCAATGCCCCTTTGTGAGCTGAACCAAGTGCCCACAATTGGATTACCTTTGAGTGAGTTCGTTGAGTGTATAACTGGTGGGACGGGTGACCTCGATTTTCCTCGGGCACCCGTGTCATAAATTTTGATTTAAACATATTTTATTCATTGAAGAACAGAATTATGCACAAGTTATCCAACTTAATGAGCACAAAGCAGGTGGTTCGCCAACTTAATGAAGCCCTCTCCCATAAATGTTTGCTTGTGATTCATTCCTGAGAGGTTAAAGGCGTGCAGTCTGGGAGATATATATCATGAATATAGACAATAATTTGTCTCTTTTGTTAACTGATGAGCAATAGAGATAAATTCATTATAATTATAGTCATACGATGCCGAGCGCCAGGCAGGGACCAACAAGTACAATATTTTAACGTCTTTTGGCATGACGCGGTCGGGGTTCGAACCTGCGACCTTCCGCTCTCCCGGGCGGACGCTCTAACCACTACACCACGGAGGCGGTCTCAAGAACAAGAAGAAAAAGCGACACAAACATACCCTTGATTTTATGGAAAATGCGTTTGTTGATAGATAAATATGATATTTCAGAAAATGCTTAGAAATAGACCCAAATAGTCCCATAAGGCTGTTAGAAGGATGTTTATAAGATATAAATAGTGCAGGTATGTTTAAGAAACGCTATTGATATACAGTACTCAGGTCTCAGGGGGAATGCTGAAAAATTGGAGTGTTTATTCAATAATCTGCACACATACAAATCATGATTGAAAGATTATTGGAAATGAATTAATAATATTACATTAGTGGAAAATCTGATCATAGATTAAGTGACCGAAATTCACCTATTGTGAATAACAGACAATATAACATACGTGTACATGTATATGTATAGTAAAACGCCAGTAAACTGATACTGGTCATCGGGTGTTTCCGACATTTGGTTCGGAAATAATCTATTGATAAACGACGTGGAACAGATAGCCTGCTTTGTGCTTGCTGTGGCGTTGTGCATTCTATGCAGCGTACTGTTTACAAACACCAAACTAAAGGTGTTTTTAAGGCAGAAATTGTGCGTTGCTTTTTATGAACATGTAGTATATTTCTGACGATTGTAATTATTCACACGATATTAACATTTTAAGTGAGCTGTAGCTCTGCTGAAATAATAACAATATGTGTGTTGTTTTGTGTGAGAAAACCAGTTAAAACATGCAGCGTTGAGATTATTGTATCCAGTGTAGTGAAGTATGTTCATCACGATTAAAATAGTTGGTTGGCTGGTTGGTCCTTTAATGCCTACAGCAGTATGTAAATAACAACAAGCATAGACAGATCCCCGTTACTAGCCTCTTACAAGTATGGGCTGCTGAACATCAATTCTAACCCGGCAATCTCTGGATGGAGCAACTTGCAGCGTCGTTGCATACTGTGAAATACATGGAGAGAGTGAGTTTAGTTTAACGTTGCACTCAGCAATATTTCCAGCTATATGGCGGCGGTCTGTAAATAATCGAGTCTCGACCAGATAATCAAGTGATCGACATCATGAGCATCGATCTACGCAATTGGGATACTGACTGACTGAGTTTGGTTTTACGCCGCTTTTAGCAATATTCCAGCAACATCACGGCGGGGGACACCAAAAATGGGCTTCACACATTGTACCCATGTGGCGATTCGAACCCGGGTCTTCGGCGTGACGAGCCAACGTTTTAACCACTAGGCTACCCCACCGCCCCAATTGGGATACGATGACACGTGTCAACCAAATCAGCTAGCCTGACCACCGAAACCCGTGAGTCGCCTCTCGCGACAAGCATGGATTACTGAAGATCAATTCTAACATGGATCTTCACGGCTCATCTTTCATGAGTGATATCAACTGTATTGGTCATGTGTGGTGGTCACTTGTCTATCTTCCTGAATCAGGGCGATAGAGTAGCCTAGTGGTTAAAGCGTTCTCTTGTCTCGCCGAAGACCCGGGTTCGATTCCCAAGGGGTACAATGTATGAAGCCCATTTCTGCTGCACCCCGCCGTGATATTGTTGGAATATTGCTAAAAGTGAATTAGCCACTTTACCGTAATCATATTTATTCATCAACCAGGGTCCCGATCCACAAAGCGTTCGTAGCCTTACGACATTCGTAAGCCTATGATAAACTATAGAGTTACGACATGTCGTAACGTTACGAACGCTTTGTGGATCGGTTCCCTGGACCTGAGCCTGGATAATCGTGGAGACTGTTCTCCTCTTGAACCTCTCTGCCAGGCTATATAGTGGTTGAGGAAGGAGCACCGTGACCTAGAGCGTACACAATATCAGCATAACTGAAGTTCTTGAAGGGCATTTAGCAGCTGGACGAAAATGAATACATGACACGTTATATGGATAGCCTCTTATTATTCTTTATACGACCTTTCAGAGGTAATTATTTCTCCTTCCTTATTCACCTGGTGAAGGAGCAAGAATAAGCTCTGAAACGTCGCATAAAGAAAACAAAAACGTGTCGTGTATTCATCAACGTAATTGTTCAGTGTCACCTGCTACCATGAATATATACGTCAATACTGTCACAATACACGTTTATGTCCATGTACGTTGGACGCATTTATTGTTAACTGCCCATTGCGAACACACGCATTTAGAAGTCTCTTCAGTGATCAGGTAAGTTGCACTACAGATTGGTCATCAAACAATTGTAGATACTTGGGGCTAAGGCTGTACAATATTTGTGTTGTTGCTTGATAACGCCCCATTCAGCATTATTCAAACAATTATGTAAATAATCAAGTTAATAATAATCGTCTTATTGAGATTAATTCCTTGACTTTCACATTATGTACGTTTAATAGTAGTATTTGATGTGGCGCAGTGTCTCAAGGGGTTCAACAATCTCTGTTGTATTGAAGTCTTCATATGGTCTTGTTATGAACTTCGATCCACGAAATTAGGAAACGGTGATCTATCGTCAACCACGTTACCTTGAGTGGCGAGATCTTCCATTTAGCCTCCTCTAACCATTAACATGGGTTTGAGAGGATCTATTTTCTTAGGGTTTGACATTATCATTTAACTTTATACTTTAACTAATGACTGTATTGGTTTTGCCATCACAAGGGATAAATATTTCAATGTCAAAATCAGTAATAGGGTCTTTTATATAAATGTTACTTATCAACTGCGATTATAATTGAAAAGTTTTATTGTCCCCTGAAGGGTACGTAAGACTTTAGCTCTATTTTATCATATATTTATTAAAACATTTTGCCAACTGAAGGGATGTGTAAATCCAGCTAGGGTCCATGCAGGTAGCAAAAGTACTGTAAGTCCCCATGGACCCTAGTATGGTGATCTACCTTCAAGTGTTGGTGATCTATATCACGTGTTTATATGTGTTCTGTCTATAGTGATTTAATTTTACGATAGCGAACCAGTTTTAAATATATATCTGTGATACTCTAGTATTTTTACTGTCCTAACAGGTTTTTACGTTCTATATCATCACGATATGGCTGAATTATTGCCGATATGACGCTAAATATTAACTCACTCACTCACTGACTAATGTTCTAATCCGGTAAATATAACAGTGTACCTAATTATTTTGTTTGTTGTTTAACGCTGCACACAGCAATATTACAGCTGTGTGGCGGTGGTCTTTGAAGAATTGAGTCTGGATCTAACCTGACCACAATTGTTCCAGTCACCATGTGACATGTTGGTTTGACGTACAATGGCATCACTTTGTTTGTGTGTCCAGGAAGTCGTTACAATCATAATTGGTCTTGTCTTGGAATAACAAGATGGACTAAAGTGCATTGTAAATACATTCATAGTCAAACATTTCATTCGGTAGGTTCATTTTATGTCTATTTACCCACAATATGATGATTTAAGAACAGGATACATGTTAAATATTGACTGTAAAGATAGAAACTCTCTCATTCGCCTTCTTCAAAATGAAAATAGCAATTATTTATATATGTATGCAAATTATATTAAGGAAGCGTTTATGCGACGTAGCGTATTATTATTGTGAATATATAAAATATGTTCTAGTTATTGTGCACATCATACCTTTTGTATTGTAATATATATTGTACATGGGCCTGTGGCCTTTCTACTGAATAAAGTTATATATATTTCACTGGTTACCACTCCCAGCCAGGATAGAATACAAGATATTTAGCATGGCTTATAGATGTCTTAACAACGCAGCTCCATCCCATCTCTCTAGTCTTGTCAGAGAGTACGTTCCAACCAGGACTCTTAGATCAGCCAATCAGTCGCTGCTCATCGTCCCAAATGCACATCTGAAGACATACGGACATCGACGTTTTTCCTACTTGTCAGCTATCCTCTGGAACAATATGCATGGGTGCCTTAAAGCATCCCCCTCAATAGCCAGCTTCCAGTCTAATTTTAAAACGTTCCTGTTCAAGAAGCACTATGACATCTAAATGAACTCCTGTTGTAAATATGTCAGCGCCATGAGCAACCACTTGGTGATTGGATATAGGGCGCTATACCAATGGACTTATCATTAATATACACTCCTCGACACGATATGTTTGAAATTCTGCCGATGAATTTTAGCTCTGTACTTCAACCAGATACTAACCCTGCCCCTCATCCAGCTAATGTACCCTGGATACCCTGGAACGATCCCAAACACTTCCGCCCGCATCATCAGCAAGACTTCTAAACGTTCCCATATAACACCGGTGTTGAAAGAACTGCATTGGGTACCAGTTAGGGCCAAAATTGACTTTAAGATCCTCTGTCTGACATACAAGTGCCTCCGTGGTTTTGATCCCTCCTTCTTGTCTGAACTCTTACATCCGTATGTCCCTGCACGCATCTTGCGCTCAAACACACAAATCTACTGGTCATCCCATCCTACAAACTGAAATCCTTTGGACACCGATCGTTCTCTTACTCTGCACCTGCGCTTTGGAACTCTCTCCCATGTGCCATTATAAGCTCTGACACAACTGACATTTTTAAGTCCAGACTTAAAACCCACCTTTTCTCAGAATATTACGTATAATTTCAGCTGTAAATACTCCTGTGTAAATATTCTGTAGCTCTTTGAGCATGCCTTAGGTTGTGGAAAGGGCGCATTATAAATATGCATTTATTATTATTTTTATAATCTGAGTCCTGCAATGACCACAGACCCGTGACGATCCGGGTTAGAATTGGTCTTCAGATGCCCATGCTTGTCGTAAGAGGCAACTGATGGGCCTCAAGCTCGTTGACTTGATTGACATATGCCATCGTGTCCCAATTGCGTAGATCGATGCTCATGTTGTTGATCACTGGATTGTTTGATCCAGACTCGAGTATATACGGAACGCCGCCATATAGCTGCAACATTGCTGAGTGCGGCGTAAAACTAAAGTCAATCACTCACTGCAATGACCAAACACTGCAGTGGTGGACGAGGTTCGATTGGTTCTACTTGCATTTGTTGTTACCGTTCTTTCAGGAAGACCTACTCGCCAATACGTCATGTATCTGCAAGTATTTACTCTTCTTCTCCTGGTCACCTGTGCCCTGGGATCTGTTTCCCGTGGTGCGATTGAAACGGAAACAAACAGTGAGTGTACAGCCTGAACTTCTCACTGCATCCTTCATATTCAGGTATCCCAGAATATAGTTGCCATAAAAACTGGAAAAAAACGCGACGTTTTTTGAGTGAACGAGTTTACGAGAGCTCAATTTTAAAACTATTTAGCATAAATTATCTTTATAGAAACTTCAATTTCTCGTTTATCAAATTATGTGTATATATACTCTTCAAAAACTGAAACTATACATGCTGTTTTGTCAAAACATGATTACTCAGAAAGTGTTTGGTAAAACCACAGAGTCAGAGTAAAATGTCAGTATCTGGTGTGACCACCATTAGCATCGATAACAGCTTGGCAGCGGTGACCCATAGAAGAAAGGAGATGCCGAATGCTGTCTTGAGGAATGTTTTGATACTCTTGCTGAAGTGCTGTGTGCAGTTCTTGTAGTGTCTGAGGTGGCGGATCACGCTGGCGCAAGCATAGATCAAGAGTATCACATAGATGTTCAATGGGGAACATATCGGGTGATCGAAAAAGCCAAGGTAACACCTGAACATTGTTTTGCTCGAGGAAGTCCTGTCAAACGCGTGCAACGTGAGGTCGAGCATTGTCATGCTCCAAACATTAATCGTTGATCATTGATGAAGGGAACGGTGTGACGTTGAACTGGTCTTCTGGCAAATAGTCGGGCTTCCCATAACCAATTGCGCAGTGTCTGGTCGGAGATTCGGCGCAGTCCAGGGAGTCGGATTGTTGTGAATGACGCGGACGTGGTGTTTGAACGAAATGTCTCAACTGGATGTAGCGATCCTGGGCGGCGGTTGTAACTCTAGGTCGACCTGACCTGGGTCTGTCATTAACACTCCCAGTATAGTTGTATCGGGTCCGTAGGTTTGAGATGTTCTGTCTGGATATGCTGAAGAGCCTTACCATCTTATGCTGCGAAGTCCACTCAAGGTGATACACAATTTGATGATGAACGTGCATTTCATGTAAGATGCGTTTTAGCGATTTACTACAGACGTAAGTGTAACGTTACGTTTTTCTTCAATGTTTCTTTTTTAAAGCGTTTTGTCGTCGACATCCATTCCCCACGTGTTGGATTCAGTATGGATTGGTTTCTGTCAAAAAAAGTTTGTTTCTATTTTGTAAAGAATATATGTTCGAAATTTCGGGTATTTCATCTTTACTTAATTATATGATCGAAAACTTTCGAATTGTTTTCATTATTTCATTACTTTTTCGACATTTAGAGTATTTTTTTATTTCGGGGAGCGCCAGCATTGTTCTTCTCTACATTACCCAAATGGGTATCTGAACCTGATACTTCGGCTTCAGAAGCCAAATAAAAACTAGGCTCTTGGAATTCATACACAAGGTAAAATTGCTGTCAGGCATCGAGCGGTGGCAAAAATCAACAACCCTTTCATTAACAGTTACTAGGTACATAGAACTTCCACACTTGTGCGTTTTCAGAATAATAAACCAAAACGTGGGCGCCAGACACTGCGAATAGCGAATGAGGTACTTCATGTAGTGTCTTTTCTTTTTCGTAGTAGAGCCTGCATTATTACACCCCACGATTTGACGTTGATATTTTACCCGTGAAGATCCGGGTCAGAATTAATCTTCAGCAACCCATGCTTGTCGTAAAAGGCGACTAACGGGATCGGGTGGTCAGGCTTGGTGACATGGTTGACACATGTCATCGTATCCAAATTGCTTATATCTATGCTCATGCTGTTGATCACTGGATTGTCTGGTCCAGACCCGATTATTTACAGACCACCGCCATATAGCTGGAATATTGCTGAGTGCGGCGTTAAACAACAAACCAACCAACGACTTTGATGTTCATACAATTGATTTCCCGATTACTGATCTCTTTTCAAGCAGTTGTATAATCAAATGGCCCATGTCAAGCATTGACAAATAAAGGCAACTGCATGTTACTGGTAATATAAACAGTTGTGGCTACATGGTGTCACGACGAGTCTCTCACTCCAGGATAATGCAGGCCCTGAGTAAATCTTTCTAAAACAAATCGGATGGACTGCACGGGTGGAGCAGACAGTGTGCGAAATAGTTTCCAAACTTTGCTAGCCAGGCGGGCTAGATATGCCTGAAGGTTATTAGCCCACAAAATAATTCACTAGCCCGACATCTAAATATAGTAACTCATCAAAAGATTACAAAATAGATGAGATGAGAATAAGATATTGTAGGCATGACACGGGTTTCATCATTAAGCTGCTAATATACTTCCCATCAAAGGTTTAGACTCACTTAAAATACTCACTATATGTTATGCATATATATGGTTACATCGAAGATAGATTTGTCCTCTAACTTGGGGGAACCAACTACAAACCTTATGCAGATGAATTGCACGAGGATCATGCATCAAACTGTTGAAAAGCATGTGTCAATATCGTGCATATGAACAGCTGCGTTTTGGTGTAAAGTTTTGTAAAGAATTCATCAATTTTGACTGATTTTTATTATTTATTGCACTCATGACAATAATCTTTTCAACGTCACGAATTTGTTTTACAATACATCAGTTCATGTGTAAACAGTACCTTTAAGCATTATGGAATATTTAGCAAAATCTAGTCTAGAACAGTTGCCTGAAATAAGTAGATATATTTACACTAGTGAGTCTAATGTTTTTATGAGAAGTATATGATTTTATCAAGCCATAATCTTGCATGACTTAAAAGTGTATTATAACTTAACAAGTCGGAAACAGTGATATATTCACAAAATGACGCCATGAAAATTCCCAACCCCGACGGGCAAGTGACTGTGGAGTCACGGCTAGCGGGTCAGTGGCTATTTGACACACTGGGTGCAGATACATCCACCTTTCGTGAATACCTGCTATCATTGCTGTCTGAAAGTGATTCAAAAGCATTTGATAGTCCAAAACGAACTATGTATAGAACTGTTGAGTCGAGATTTCTTAGGTTGCATAAGGGCATTCATGTTATTGCAATTCTGGTAACCTTTGGCAAACACAAGGTCAGAGGAAGCAGATTGAGAAGGTCCACTGACATGATATCAACATACACGTCACTCTGGGACGGACACAGATTTAAGGGATTTGATTGGTCTAGAGCTTGCGATTACGATTTAGGTGTTCGATTTCAACTGTGTTGCATACTACAAATTGTTACTACAAATCGCGCCATGAGAACGCCCTTACAATACAAGATCAAAGCCATCAGGACATTGGAAGACTCAGCCAGAGAGCGATCCACTGAATTGTTTCTTCCAAGCCGTCCAGCGGAATCTCTGTGTTTGGAAATGAGTGACAGTTGGTTTTCAGTATCATTTACAAAGAGGCAAACCGATTCATGGGGATCTTTCATTAACCCCCCTTTCCTAACATCCAAAACAACTATCACGTCCCCACAACTTAGCAGTCCGCCAATGCCGCTCTACGTCCAAAACAGTTTTGACTTCTTCAAGAGTTGTTGATGAAATGCTGAAGCTTCGCAGTCAAATCTTATTGTTTCCATGCCGAGCTCCCAAAAGCAATGGAATTTTTCGGTTCGATGTAATTAACGAGACTCACTAAAACAATAACCCGTGTTTCATGTGAGACTTAGGTCAAAATGAAGTTTACGTTGAGAAAGGCAAATGAAAGGAACCGTGTAATGCTTGATGCTTTCCTTTCAGAGTGGGGAACAGTGATTTCCTTTTGTACCTACAAAGGTATTCGGTTCCTGCCCGGATCGAAGTGGAAAACAACGGAATGCATGGACTGTTCGTGCTCAGACTCAGGACTCTACTGTCAAGGGTAGGTATTAAATACCGTGGGGATTCTTTAGTCAGGGGTAGGTAGATAACACTGTCGGGACTCTTCTGTCAGGGGTATGTAGATAACACTGTCGGGACTCTTCTGTCAGGGGTATATAGATAACACTGTCGGGACTCTTCTGTCAGGGGTTTGTAGATACCACTGCTGGGACTCTTCTGTCAGGGGTATATAGATAACACTGTTGGGACTCCTCTGTCAGGGATTTGTAGATAACACTGCTGGGCCTCTTCTGTCATAGGTATGTAGATAACACTGTTGGGACTCTTCTGTCAGAGGTTTATAGATAACACTGCTGGGCCTCTTCTGTCATAGGTATGTAGATAACACTGTTGGGACTCTTCTGTCAGAGATATGTAGAAACCACTGCTGGGACTCTTCTATCAGGGGAAGGTGAATACCACTGTTGGGACTCCTCTGCCAGGAGTAGGTAGATAACACTGTCGGTACTCTTCTGTCAGGGGAAGGTAGATAACACTCCTTGGACTCTTCTGTCAGGGGAAGGTAGATAACACTGCTGGGCCTCTTCTGTCATAGGTATGTAGATAACACTGTCGGGACTCTTCTGTCAGAGGTTTATAGATAACACTGTTGGGCCTCTTCTGTCATAGGTATGTAGATAACACTGTTGGGACTCTTCTGTCAGAGATATGTAGAAACCACTGCTGGGACTCTCCTATCAGGGGAAGGTGAATACCACTGTTGGGACTCCTCTGCCAGGAGTAGGTAGATAACACTGTCGGTACTCTTCTGTCAGGGGAAGGTAGATAACACTCCTTGGACTCTTCTGTCAGGGGAATACCACTGTTGGGACACTTCTGTCAGGGGTAGGTGGATACCACTGTTGGGACTCTTCTGTCAGGGGTATATAGATAACACTGTGTGGACTCTTCTGTCAGGAGTAGGTAGATAACACTGTCGGGACTCTTCTGCCAGGGGAAGGTGGATAACACTCCTTGGACTCTTCTGTCAGCGGAAGGTATATAGATAACACTGTGTGGACTCTTCTGTCAGGAGTAGGTAGATAACACTGTCGGGACTCTTCTGCCAGGGGAAGGTGGATAACACTCCTTGGACTCTTCTGTCAGCGGAAGGTAGATAACGCTGTTGGGACTCTTCTGTCAGGGGTTTGTAGATAACACTGTTGGGACTCTTCTGTCAGGGGAAGGTAGATAACACTCCTTGGACTCTTCTGTCAGGGGTAGATAGATACCACTGTTGGGACTCTTCTGTCAGAGGTAGGTAGATACCACTGTTGGGACTCCTCTGTCAGAAGTATATAGATAACACTCCTTGGACTCTTCTGTCAGGTGAATACCACTGTTGGGACACTTCTGTCAGGGGTAGGTGGATACCACTGTTGGGACTCTTCTGTCAGGGGTATATAGATAACACTGTGTGGACTCTTCTGTCAGGAGTAGGTAGATAACACTGTCGGGACTCTTCTGCCAGGGGAAGGTGGATAACACTCCTTGGACTCTTCTGTCAGCGGAAGGTAGATAACGCTGTTGGGACTCTTCTGTCAGGGGTTTGTAGATAACACTGTCGGGACTCTTCTGTCAGGGGAAGGTAGATAACACTCCTTGGACTCTTCTGTCAGGAGTAGGTAGATAACCCTGTGTGGACACTTCTGTCAGGGGTAGGTGGATAACACTGTGTGGACAATTCTGTCAGGGGAAGATTGATATCACTGTGGGGATAGGTGAATAACACGTCGATGCGCATCCTGCTGTTTTTAGCCCCTGGACATGTTTCTCTTCTTCAAAATACATCACGTACACAAACGCACTTTGAGACATTTATATCATCCACTGCCATTGTAGGACAAGAACCAATATTGAAAAGCTGGTACATCTCGCCACTCCTGACACTAAATCACGGCTATATTTAGTGTTTTAAAATTTAAAAATCGAAATTGAATTTTAAAAGAAAGGACATCTAAGCGTCTCTACGGTACTTTTAGGGGACATGCGTGGGGATGTTAATGTGTGTTTTGTGTGTGTTTTATATCAGAATGAATGAATAACAATCATATCAAGCGATATTACATAAAATGATAGCTGTATAAAATCAACAGTTTGATGACAGATGCGACATGAATACAATTATTGTGTCAACGATTCTGAGTTTGAATGTTTATATCAGTGTTAAGCATAAACAGATTACAGCGGCAATTAAACGTCAGATGGACAATACCGTATTGGTGTTGGAAGTGTTTCCAGTTTCAAGACATGCAGCAACATTTTATTTGTAGATTTGGCTATGCAGGAGGGGCATTTGGGGCACCTGAGGGCTGCAAGGTTGTCAATGATGCCTGTCAGATTAGGATGGTGGATGCGGATGATGAATTGGACGACTGTGCGCCACCAGAGCTAAACATTCAAGAGTAATGTACTCCTGCATCTGATAAAAACATCAAGTAACCCTGTCTGTGTCCTTCTTTGTTTAAGAGAATGATGGTCAACCGGGTGTAGGAAGCCAGCGCCATCGTTCGGGATGCGTGTGGGGTTTAGGACAACCGTTTATTATTCTAGGGTGGGTTTATGGGATGTTGCGAAGGGGCCTGATATTGAAAATCCACGACCAAATCATCAAGGCTCGCAAGGTACGCAAATCTTCATGTACATGTATGTATTTCACACACTAGTATGTTATTGTTTGTTTGTTCTTTAACGCTGCACCGTTAATTTGGCACCGGTCTGTAAATAACCGAATCTGGACCAGACTATCCAGTGATCAACGGCATAAACAGCAATCTACGCAATTGGGAAACAATGACATATGTCAACCAAGTCAGCGAGCCTGGCCATCAGATCCCGTTAGTCACCTCTTACGACAAGCATGGGTTACAGAAGACCAATTCTAACCCGTATCTCTACAGGTATATATCATAGTAAGTAGTGTCGTATATACGTAGTGATTCATTTCCCCCAAATACTGGGAAAAGATATTTTGTCTTTATGTTATGTTCGTCTTTATAACTACAGACAATCCGTTCACAGGACATGCTAGATCTTCTTAAAATATTGCGAAAAAGGAAAAATAAACATGGTGTCAGAATATGAATTATAACCTGAGTGAGTGAGGGAGTTTAGTTTTACGCCGCACTCAGCAATATTCCTGCTATATGGCTGTGGTCTGTAAAAAATCGAGTCTGGACCAGACAATCTAGTGATCAACAACATGAGCATCGATCTACGCAATTGGGATACGATCACGTGTCAACCACGTCAGCGAGCCTGACCACCTGATCCCGTTAGTCGCCTCTAACGACAAGCATGGCTGAAGATCAAGTCTAATCTTCACGGGTCAATGTGTCGATGAACGTGGTTTACTGAAGATCAATTCTAACCCGGATCTTCATGGGCCAATGTGGCGTTGTACGTGGTCGGCTATACATGCAATAATGCTATTGGACCCAGCTTTAATCCTGTAAAACCTTCGCCCTTCAGGATGCTCTTACGACACGCTTGGGTTACTGAAGATCAATTCTAATCCGGATCTTCACGGGTAAGATTATAACCTGAGAGCGACCGTGGTATTGTTTCATTCGAACCTTCAGGGCAACTATTATTTTTCGAATATAATTGTTTTCCTCGCATTGCTGCTCACAAGCTTGTGTGGAAATGTCCATTTCGGCCGGATGACGTTATTGGTATATCTGGTGTCTGTCACTGAACACTTCACCCCCGTGAACATAGGCACTAAAATGGGGTCGGGTCATTGGAGAAACCGGCGAGATTATTTGGACATGACCTACGTCATGACACAACAAACAAAGACATTAAATATTCATTCTCCATTCGGTAATTCTCCATTTTGACTCAGTCACATCCATGTATGTGGGTATTAGAACACAAAATACAATGTGCGACAGTCAAAAAACGACAAGCCCTGTCCAAGATCATAAGCAATTCCAGGTACGTTCACACTATTCAATAACACCGGGAGTTAGCGATGTGAGTCACCTGTAAACGCGTCACTGTAAACATTTCTATCATGACATGTCACTCATATACGTCGATTCGATAAAGTGTGACGTTCATATCACAATTATCGGAATGTTATATTCTGGACAAAATAAGTTAAGGATATTGGTATTTTTATGATTGATATTTTATCAGTGTGTCAATGAATAAATAGATCATTATTTATAATTTCAAAATTTACGTATATCCCTAACTCTTTTTGTCCAGTATATTAATTGCCTTTTTACAACTTTTTAGTTTTCTATGCATTCAAGGGGCGGTGGGGTAGCCTAGTGGTTAAAGCGTTGGCTCGTCACGCCGAAGACCCGGGTTCGAATCCCCACATGGGTACAATGTGTGAAGCCCATTTCTGGTGTCCCCGCCGTGTGTGTTCAGTAACATTATTGCATGTATACAATATACTGTCTGTGCATCTGAGCTAAAGCTAAGTTCAGTAAGAGTATTGCATGTATACAATATACTGTCCTCTGTGAGCTAAAGCTGTGTTCAGTAAGAGTATTGCATGTATACAATATACTGTCTCTGAGCTAAAGCTGTGTTCAGTAAGAGTATTGCATGTATACAATATACTGTCTCTGAGCTAAAGCTAAGTTCAGTAAGAGTATTGCATGTATACAATATACTGTCTCTGAGCTAAAGCTAAGTTCAGTAAGAGTATTGCATGTATACAATATACTGTCTCTGAGCTAAAGCTGTGTTCAGTAAGAGTATTGCATGTATACAATATACTGTCTCTGAGCTAAAGCTAAGTTCAGTAAGAGTATTGCGTGTATACATATAAGCTAGTACAATATACTGTCTCTGAGCTAAAGCTGTGTTCAGTAAGAGTATTGCATGTATACAATATACTGTCTCTGAGCTAAAGCTGTGTTCAGTAAGAGTATTGCATGTATACAATATACTGTCTCTGAGCTAAAGCTGTGTTCAGTAAGAGTATTGCATGGATACAATATACTGTCTCTGAGCTAAAGCTGTGTTCAGTAAGAGCATTGCGTGTATACAATATACTGTCTCTGAGCTAAAGCTGTGTTCAGTAAGAGTATTGCATGTATACAATATACTGTCTCTGAGCTAAAGCTAAGAGTTCAGTAACTGTCTCTGAGTATTGCAGTAAGAGTATTATGTATACAATATACTGTCTGTGAGCTAAAGCTAAGATCAGTAACGTCATTGCATGTATACAATATACTGTCTCTGAGCGTAAAAGCTGTGTTCAGTAACGTCATTGCGTGTATACAATATACTGTCTCTGAGCTAAAGCTGTGTTCAGTAACGTAGTATTGCATGTATACAATATACTGTCTCTGAGCTAAAGCTAAGTTCAGTAAGAGTATTGCATGTATACAATATACTGTCTCTGAGCTAAAACTGTGTTAAGCAACGTTATTGCGTGTATACAATATACTGTCTCTGAGCTAAAGCTAAGTTCAGTAAGAGTATTGCATGTATACAATATACTGTCTCTGAGCTAAAGCTGTGTTCAGTAAGAGTATTGCATGTATACAATATACTGTCTCTGAGCTAAAGCTAAGTTCAGTAAGGTCATTGCATGTATACAATATACTGTCTCTGAGCTAAAGCTAAGTTCAGTAAGAGTACTGCATGTATACAATATACTGTCTCTGAGCTAAAGCTAAGTTCAGTAACATTATTGCGTGTATACAATATACTGTCTCTGAGGTAAAGCTGTGTTCAGTAAGAGTATTACGTACGACACAGATGAGCAAGAACTTGAAAAATGTACACTCCTTTGCAATTTGAGAACACAAACTAAGCTATGGATACAAGTCTTCAAATATAGTTGCAAGCAACGATGATGGGTTCTTTGGTTTTAGTTCTATCTAGCCTATTGTGTCTGTCATATTTGATGAAAGTTGTAATGGTTTTAGTTTATATGAATCATTTCACTGCTAGTCTTTGGAGATACATTACTGCAATCAGTAGTTATAATCGACACTAATAGCCCACTTGTACAGGTACATGTTGGTCGAAATCGGACGGTTTGTTTGAGAGTTACGGGTGTTTGAATTGTATTTGAGGGCTAGAAATCGTCCAAAACGGAGCCAGAACACGTTTTTGACAGGCGAGCGGATCTTCCAAATACAGCCGGGGTCGCGGGGGTCATGTACCTTTTTAAGAAGTTCTGGAGAAGAAATAGTTCCCTCTTTAAAAGGCTGTATCTCAGTTGTTCTTGGGTCTACGGTCAAAACAACTAGTGTTGTGGAATGTCGAGAGCTGATGATTCGAGCTCAGCACATTTTGGGATGAAAACTGCTGAAAAAACATGGCCAAAAACTGAAAACAAAAATAACTGCCAAACGGTACATTTTAGCGACTTGACCCATCCAGGGAAAATTGTTAGGAATTCGATTGTGCATCTGTACAAGAGATTTGGAAGTATTGGAACAATTAGTTCTTGAGACATTTGCTGTTAAATTTTGGAATTAATTTTGAATTATCTCCCCTTTGCTATTGGGCCTAGAGCCCAGAGATTTTGTAAGGGGAATATCTTCACCTCGGTGGGCATCTGTGTCAATTTTGGTAAGTGATTCGGAGCATTCGTTTAGGAGGTATGTTTGGTACAAACATCGACGGAATAATAAATAATAATAATAATCCGAACGATTACAATAGGTCTCCTGCCTAGAGGCAAGTAGCCCTAATAACAGTAAGGTAAAGATATACAGGAAGCTTCTTGCCTTACTCGCAGTGGGTTTGTTTCGAGTTTGTGTAAAGAGTAGAGTGAGCGAGTAAGGTTTTACGCCGCTTTAAGCAATATTCCAGAGGTCTGTAAATGATCGAGTCTGGACGTGTGTCAACAAAGTCAACGAGTCTGACAAACAGACCCCCTTAGTCGACTCTTACAATTTGTCAGTGATATCGAACGTCGATAGAGACATTGACGTTATGTTGGGTTGTAATGTTACATTAATAACAACAGTTGTAGGTTGTCTACATTTGACCAGGATTCTGTCACATTAGGTTGATGATCTTATCTCCCTTTGATTACATTCTTCCTTTGTATAAGGAGTTATCTCCCATGACGCTTTGCAAGCCAGCGTCTCCGGCCATGTTTATGTGAATTAAATAGGAAATAATAGTCAATCCTATTGCATCGGAAAAAATGGGACAACTAAGTTTTTTTTACTAAATCACCATCAGTGTAATGTAACGACACTGTTATAAATAACGACACTGACAAGCAGTTTGATTTATTTCTCCCAGAGCACAGACAGCACAATAAAAAGACATTAATCTTTCTCATCCGAAGTCCCAACTATGTCGTCATCCGGAGACAGGGAATTGTCTCCGGACAACACCATCGCGAGTCACAGGATCAGAACGTCGTCTTCAGTCCCGTGAAGATCCGGGGTAGAATAGGTCTTCAGGACGTCGTCTATCTTGTCGTAAGAGGCGACTAACGGGATCTTCAGT